CAGCAGCATACAGATCATGTCCCACAATAATTTCTCGTTGGTGGTGCTGGCTGGACTGGATGTAAGTATTCCAGGTTCAGATTCCCACTTAGCTGTGTGTTAAAACTCTTGGTGGCTTTGAGCAAATCTCTGTCTTGTTCAGCCTGATTTATCTCACAGTGTTATTTTGAGGTGAAAGCTATGATCTTATACATTGTTATTACTAGGGAGTAGGTTGCATTGGAAACTGTGGGGTTTATTTCAGAATCAATAGGAATAGGATGCACAGAATATATGTGTAACAATATGTGTTATGGCCCGCATCAAACCATAGATTAGCATGAATTTAGGATACCCAGCACTCATATACAAACACTGTGTTCCGCATCTGCAGTTCTTCAATGTTGGGCTGCGCCATGACCTGCGGTCGTTCATGGTCCTATAAGGCAGAACAGTTGAAGCTTTCTTTGTATAATATTAACTAGACTTTTCTGTGCCCATTGTCATATTGCTGCTCTCTTTCTGGCATCAGTTGGGCTTTCTCTCTTAGTGTCAAATGTACAGGCTGTGCTTTTTGAAGGAATAGAAGCAAAGCCCCTTGTTCATCTTTGAAAACAGAACAGATTTTTATTTTTATTTACAGGGCAATCTGATAGATGTTTACTCAGAGGCAAGTTTACTTGAAGTCAAGGGGGCCTGGGCATAGGATTGCAGTCCTATTCACACTTACTTGGGAGTAAGTCCTAGTGGGAATTACTTCTGAGTAGACCTATCTATAGGACTGCGCTGTCAATCTCTGCCCATGACACAAGCTTGAGGGTTCTTTTGTTTTTGTTTCAAATGTAAGAACCGTTACATTTGAATGTAAGAATATGTACAGCACAGCCCAGGCAAAATGCGGGGGGGCTGCTATTTTTGGGACACTTTTTGCATTTTCTAACAAAGCTTCCATCACCATTAAATAAGTTTTCCCTCTGGCTACCACTTTGTTTATAAATTGGATGTATTGAGAGTCCTCCGTTTTGCTGCTGCTTGTTGCCCCTTGGGTGACTTGTTCAAAGGGACCTCTGTCTGGGGTGTTATGCAGCCGAGCAGATTCAGAAAGTTCTGTTCGCAGGAGGAAGTAAAGAGTTTTGGTTCCCATTTTGCACTTCTGGAACAGTTTAAGGAAGGAAGCACCTTTACACCTTTTATTGTTCGTGGTTGCTGACATCATCTCCTTCCCTGACCACTCAGTGCGTGTTTCCTGCTATTCTGTCAAGATTCTTCTGTGTTAGTGAGCAGGAGGGAGAGAGAAGGAGAGAGAGGGGGGAAATGTGTGAGAGAGGGAGTGAAGAATGGCCGTCTGCAGTGCTGCATCTGCCCACTGGAACTCAAATCACTCTTCCCTCAACTATCTGTGCCTTTGGCAATCGTAGAGCGAACAGAAGCCCGCCAAGCTGAAGTTCCTCTTTTTAGTAAACAGTCTGATTTTATTTTATCTCTACAAAAGTATTTGGGTTTCCAAAAGGGGGAAAATGCTGAAGGCTGTGATTTTGAAGAATGTTAATATCTGAATAATGAAACATCGACATTTTTTAAAAAGATGCATTTGTTTACATATAACTCTGTCATTAGCCTGGAAGGTTTATTTAATGTGGACACTATTTTGACAGGGCTTCTGGAATAATTTTAACTTGCCATATAGCTAGTTTTGCCTAGTGCACTTTCTTATTTTTAAATGCAGTCTGAGGGTTTACGAAGCACTGCAATTTTTCTAACACTTGTAGTGTACGTACCTTGAGATAACACCCTTTGCAACTCAAAGCATCTTTTCCAAGTTCCAAGGGCAGGTGGTAAGGAATTCTGGATCGCCTTCACTCTTGGCACAGATCTTTAAAAATATTTTAAGGTTTATGGCTTCTTTGTTCGTCCCATGATGTATTTTAATTACTTTTCTATGTATGGTTGGGAGTCTTGCCCATATGTATAAAATAAGATGGATCCTCTATTCATGCAGTTTTGCAAAAATGCATGTGCGTGTTTGTGTGTGGTGTTAATAAAATAATGCATGTTAAAGAGAGAAATCGTGAAAAAGACAAAATAATATGGTTTTGACATTAAGCTGGATAGTGTGCGGGGGAATCCTAACAACGATTTTTTAGTCAAAGCAGTAGCACTAGACTGCAACTTCCCTAGCTATAGAACTGCAGTATTTCTGTGTGGTGTGGGCTTACATACACGCATAAGCATGTATATACGGATTAAAACAGTTGACACATTGTTTCTTGTTCCTCAGCCTATATATATATGAGAAACAACAACATAATAATTGGACTCAATGCTTCCTTTTAAAGCCATACAGGCTTCTTTTCCCCACCTCAATCTCCCGCCTCACCACTTGTCAACAGATTGTTGCTGCGAATGGGAACAATGATTCAAATTCATCTCATAACTTACAATGATGTACATTTGGAGTTCTTTCGATGTACCCGGTGAGCTTGCCCTAGATTTATGTCTGCTGAGTCCAAGAAGTGTTTGTGGAACTATTTGGAGAATATTTTTATGTAGTTGTGGAATGCTTAACGTTCCTGGCTGTTTATAATCTTCTTCTTCTTCTTCTTCTTCTTCTTCTTCTTCTTCTTCTTCTTCTTCTTCTTCTTCTTCTTCTTCTTCTTCTAGCTCAGTATGAAATGTGGAACTGCTAGTTGTGTGGGAGGGACTCACCACGTTGTTACTTCACCAGGGGCTCTGCATCCTTGTCCTAACAGACGAGAGTGTCAGCATTTTGTGATCTCTCCCCCGCCCCCCCTCCTCTTTCTCATTCGGCTCCAGCAGCTCGATCCGTAAAGCAGTGCTTCTCTTGGCTAACCCCGTGTCACCACTTCTCTAATCTGTCCACTCTGACCTTCCACCCTCAACAAAGCGACAGCTTAGGCAGGCATAGGACTGTAAGCCGATAGTGCCTCAGGCTCCACGTGAATGAAAGGAAGGGAAATTGTTCCATATGCATTTGCTGTGGATTAGTCTATTGGCTTACTGTTGTGGAGAAAGCCTGTTAGACTTCCTGCACGTACATGGGAATTACCTGGCTTTTTATATCAGAGGTAAGCTTGACTGTTGGGGTTGGAGAGATGCGGCGGGGGGAGAGAGAAACTCCCAAGGAAGCAGTCCAGCTGAGAGAAGTTGAAAAACATTCAAAATGAACTTATTGTCCTAGTCACCAGCGAATGTCAGAGAATGCAGCTTTTCCAAAACATGCTTAGATTGTATTTAAAGTACTTTAGAAAAAGAAAAAGAATCTACTACAATTGAGCGTATGCACTCTTTCTGTGTTTCAAGAGTAATGAAAGCAGGTAGGGTTGTTTTGTCAACTCAGACTGCATAAAAGTGAGTTCATTAACTATTTTAAATGCCTAAAACTGCAGAAATGATGGGAGTTGATAGTTTCGTTTCTCTGCTATACTGTAAAGTAATGATGCTAGCACTGGATTCCTTAAGACTTGGTGGTACAGTGTAAAAACTAACTTATGGTGTATAAGATTTGGAGTTTGTGACTGAGTAATAGCCTTCTAATTTTTTTTCTTAAGAGCCCAGAACACAGAATAGCTGTAAAATAAACTGACGGAAACAAAATGAGCACAAAACTGAAAATTTGAGAAAGCTTTTCCGATCTGAATTTTCAGGCCAGAGCTTCAGAATAGTGTTACATACTGTACCTTTGGGGATAATTTAACAGGTTGGCTATAGGAAAGCCAGTCTACAGTTGAGATTGCACTGTCATATTTTAACAATCTTGTGAATTAAGAAATCATTTTATTGGAACACAGTGGTGGTGGTGGGGAATTAGGCACTAATAAATATAAATGCAATTTTCAATTTCTCTCTATGTGTGCTAAAATTTGTATTTTAGCCTATGTATGTCTACTCAGTAGTGAGTCCTATTGAGTTAAATGGGAGCTACACTTGGGTGAGTGTGTATAGGATTGCAGTCTCAGTAGACATACATGATAAACATTAATGTTTGCAATGTGCTACAGGGAGATATTTGATTTTATCCACATAACTGTCATACAGCTTTCGCTTGTGACCTTTTGCTTATTTTTCCAGCTTTTGATTTGCTTTTTATGTAATGTTTTGCAACAGTTTTGAATGAATCCTCTGGTTTATTCTTTGTGTGGAAGAATATTAGGAACACATTGTCATGTGTTTATGAGCTTTCTTTTGCAGTTATGACTCTTTATGATGTGATTATTTTTTTGCCCTTATGTGTGAAGGAATGGTAGATGCGTGGATTATATTAACAACTGCACCAATTATTACACTTATTGTAGGTGGAAATATATACAAATATATTTAGTCTGTAAAAAAAAAGCAAAAGCTCACTTTTCAATATGATAGAGCTAAAGGGGTATTTTTCTCTTGAACTATTTCATCTGCAGTCATTCTCTTTCTTTTAAAAAATGGAATATAAGGTTAAAGGATTTAGATTTGGCTGACATTTCTCATATATCAAATAGTACTTTAATAATGGTCTAGCCTAGTTTGCATAATAAGAAACATTATCACCTCTTCTGTTTTCCTTCAAAAGTGAATTAGCTTGATTACTTAGCTTGCACAGGTATGGAAAGGTTCATTAACTCCCTGATTTAGGTAATTTTTCATATTTCCAAGGAAGTCTTACAGAATAGAGAAAATTTGCATCTATGAGAAGTATGAGTGCATGCATTTTAATTGTTTTAGTGATGTCTTAAAAGCTTTATATCCAGAGCCTAAGATGTATGTTCCCCACTGAAAGAGCATCTCTTACTTCTGAATAACTGTCTGTAGGATTGAGGTTCCATAGCTACAAAACAAAACAAAAATCCAGTTTAGTGCAATTACTAATAATAATGCCTAATCATTTCTGACTTTATTGCTTATTTAGCAGTTCTGCATTCAAAACCACACTTAAGCCAGTTGGTAAGATATCACAGTAGCATCGTTCTATAAAGATTATGTCCAAATAACTCCCTAACACTTCATTTCTTTTGTGTACTTAGCAGGAACGGATGCAGGGGTCTGTGAATTGAATCGCGTAAGTGCTGAAGAAGGATTCTTGGTTTGAGGAAACAGGAAAGAGGAAGGAAAGATAAGAAGAAAATACACGAGTGTAGGAACGAACGAGAGAAGAAAAACGGGGACTATGGGGAGAAAAAAGATTCAGATCACAAGGATTATGGATGAACGTAACAGGCAGGTAGGTTGCAAAATAATCCTCTTTGCACTTCACAGTCACATCATGGCATAAGTCAGATCTGTGCTTTGGGGTTAATTTTTTTAAGGGCTCGAAAACATCACATCTGCATCATATATCTGACATTTACAGTAATATTCGCATGCTATTGTCTGTGAAGCTTCAATATTTTTATGCATATTGTTGCATGTTATACACTTTAAAAAAACATTCTCTAGTTTTAATATAATGCAAGATCCTTCTGTTGAGGATATATCACTGTGACACCTGAATTGTTGTGTAAGATCAGCTCCTTTCTATCAATTGCAAACTACTATAATTCCAAAACTAACTTTGCTTAGATTGAGACTGTTGCCAATTGCAATTTCAATATTTATTTTATAAACCAGAAAAGCTCAAGGGGGTATGTTGTGGACCTGATCAAGCAAATTTTATTATTTTTCTTTGTATCCCCCCTGTCAAAAATCTGTCATGGACTAGGGTTTTTAGTCATAAAATTTTCAGGCAGAATTTCAGTTCTGAAATACTACCAATAAATCTGACACCTATATGACAACCATAAAATTGAATTAAGACTTTAAGAAAAGTTTGTTACTTCCCCTTTAAACCAGAGTCAACCTTACAGTAGAAAGGTGTTTGCTTAGACAATCCAATGTACAGAGCAAGAAAAGTACAGAAATAACAAGAAGAAGAAGAAGAAGAAGAAGAAGAAGAAGAAGAAGAAGAAGAAAAGCGAGACAAGCAAACAAGCAAATAACATTGTAGCTTCTTACCTATTCAAGAAGTGGTTTGTGCATGTGTGTTATAATTATTTTTACTCTATCCAAACCTTCCCACAATATTATAGGATAGGTCATGATAACTGCATGTTAAACCGTTCTTTTATAGTGCAGATGTCGCCGTAAAACACACTCATACTTTACTGTTAAGGCTTTAAAAGGCTCTGATCCGGAGAAAACTGTGGGTAACAAGGTGTTGCTGACTACCAGCAACAGGCAGGTAATAGCTATATGAATTATCCCTGAGGGATGCACATTCCCCTTTTTATTATAAAACTGATGAGAAGACGTCCTCCCATCTGCTCTGCGCAGTGCTGGTGTCTATGTACATTTCGATGCACATCCAAACTGTGCCAGCTGTGTGCTGAGCTCTGTATGCAGAGTTCTCACTGGAAGCCGTGTGTAGAGTCCCACATCCCAGCTATCTGTGTTGGGGCTCCTTGCATGTTTCACCTTGTTGTGTTCTTAGATTTCAATCCAACAAGGGCAACTTGTGTAGCTGGAAGCCAGCTTGTGTGCACGGCCCTACGCTAGCTGATGAGCCACGTGCCCCTTGTAGAAAGAACCCAACATAGAAATAATTTATTGTTCTAATTTTCAAGCAAGCCTTGTATGAAATTTAAAACGCTGCAGTGCAGGCATAACTTGCCCTCTTCGTGGCAGAAAATCAAGTTTCAAATAAAGCAAACAATGATAATATTTATGATTGATGCATTCTGAGTTTTCCCTGTAGGTTACTTGTTGCCCTGGGCCAAGCCAGAAAGCAATAATTCTGTCAATACCAAGCCACCATATTTGCTTTAATTGTTTATAGCTTAGAATTTAAATTAAAAATGGAATAGTGAGCAGCATTAAGCATTTAGACATCAGTTGTTTTGTCCATGAGCATATTGCCAGTTTGTGTAAAAAAAATAAAATGCCTAAATTAAATTAAATTAAATTAATTGTTGAGGGGATTAATATTTGGCAAAAAGAAGCTTATTTTGATTTTTACTATTTAAAATATGGACAATAGTTCGGAAGCTATTATTTTATTCAAGTGTTACTTTATCAAGAAATAGAACACTCTTACTTCCCAGAATATGAAGGTCCATTGGGCTGTTAATCACCTTTCCGCCAAGGTTTAGCACAATCATTTAACTCATTCATATTGAATCAATGGGTTCGGGCATGATTTCTGTTTATGGAATTGGCTTTCCAAAGCAGTTAGATTTGCACAAGGTATTGCACAAGACTAAGTTAAACACCCTTTAGTCCCATTAAAATCAATGGGGCTAAGGGCTTGTCCACACTTTCACTTGCCCTGCCACTTTTCTCTGGGGAAGCATGCTACTTGCATCTGAATCTGAGCAAACTTCAATCAGGTTTTCCATGAACTGACATTTGCCCTGGTTCAGCGGTAAAGAGCTGGTTTTCCCGGGGAAAGCGGTGTGGCAAACAGAGAATCCTTCTGACTTGTTCATAGAAAGCACAGGGCAAGTGGAAAACCTCTCGGACCAATGGATGAGCTTTTAGTCATGACTAGCTTGTTTCATTTTAACTAACTTCCTCAGGATCAAACCCACAGTTGGTCATTTTAGATTGTACAGTTTTAGGATCTACGTGTTTGATCTGTAGACTGTAGACAGTAAGATACAGTTAGAAGTCTTGAAATGAACTACAATATAATCTTACTCTTTGGGCACTATAAGGGAAAGTTTCACATTCTTTACATTAGAAGAGCACCGGGAAGGATTGCAAGCGTAAGGGGAAGGGGAAATGGCCATGTCCTCAACATAGGAAGCGTCCTCATACCAAATTCACCCACCTAACTGAATGGCAGGTTTTCAGAGAAGGGACATTCCCAGTCATATCTGGAGATGCTAGGAGTTGAATCTTGGGCCTTCCACATGCAAAAGAGATGTTCTACAACTGCGCTATGTCACTCTTCACTTACTGTGAGAAGAATATACAGAAGACACGATTCATTCAAAGCTAAGCATAAGTCCTGGTCACTTCCATGGTGAATTTCAGAAAGACTTGTTTTTTTCCTCTTGAAATCAACGAGGCTTGAACTTTGCATCCATAATGGCTCACTGAATGTGCTCTAGATTTCAATGATTTAGTACAGAGAGTGAAAATCCTGACCTGGAAGACATCAGGATTTGTCTTTCCTCTTAAGCTAGCCCTGCAGTTGCAAGATGAACTCATGAAACCGATTTACAATTACGGCATTAAACTATGCTTGCCATTTTCCCTTTGTGACTGCATGTCACACATTCAAGGTTGTGTTCTCAATCTTCCCTCTCTACAACTTAACAATGTTAGAATTGTTTGACTAGTTTTAAAATAGAAGCTGAGATTCTCAAGACCTCAGGTGTATTTAAAGAACCCTAAAATCATATGCTGTGGCAGATTTTTAGTAATGCTAAAAATATTCTAGTGTGATTTGATAGTTCACTGAAGTAAAATTTGCAGGGTTCTGCAACCCTTGCTTTTGAGCATATCTGTGTTTCGAAGTAACACTGATTTGAATCCAGCTATGTAACTCAGAACTCACTGAAATTGATGGACTTAGCTTTGAAATTAGTTGAATGCAACCCACAAAACTTGCTATTGTTTTAAGCTTATTTTTGCCAGAAGGTGTAGAAGGGGATGCCCAGGTAAGGAGTGTAATATGTGAAATGTAAAGACAAATCAAAGATATCCAACTCTGTATTTTTCCCCACAGTACACTAATGTAGGGGCAACGGGTAAGAAATAAATTTAATCCCGTTTGCATTTATAGGCAAATATACCTAGTCTGCATTTTCCAAAACAATATGAGAACTGAAACACAGCCATCCTTTGAAATTCACACTCCTCCAGTTCATCGCAGTTCTCCAGCCAAGTAATGTGTACAAAGATGCCAACACTTGTGAAAACAACCTACAGAGATGCATCGTATCAGGGGGAATTGCTTGCAAAAAATGTATATATTAAGCAAAACTGCATTAAAAATTTGGCTCTTAAAATAAATGTACACTAAAATATCAATGTATTTTCACTTTTTAAAAAAATCAGAAAATGACATGGAAATGTAGAGAAAAATGAGCAGGAACAGAAAGAAAGAGAAATCTTCTGATTCACTCATCCCTATTAGGAGAACCTTCTGGGAGGTGGGGGACTGGCAGATAGGAAGGAGAGTTTAAGCTAGTCCAACCCTTTGCAATACATGAATCTCAGCTAAATCAAACATAACAAATGGCCATCCAACCTCTGCTTAAAAACCTCCAAGGAATGAGAGCCCACCACCTTCCAAGGGAGTCCATTCCACAGCTGAACAGCTTCTACCGTGAGAAAGTTATTTCTGATGTTCAGTTGGAATCTCCTTTCTTGTAACTTGAATCCATTGGTTCAGGTCCTTCCCTCTGGAGTGGAAGAAACAAGCTGGTTCCATCTTCCATGCAACAGCCCTTTATATATTTGAAGATGGCTATCATATCTCGTCTTTTTCAGGCTAAACATACCCAACTCCCTCAACTGTTCCTCATAAGGCTTGGTTTCCTTAATCATCTTGGTCCCCTCCTTGTTTGCAAGTGAGAAGTGGCATAATATCCAGGAAAACAAAGATTTGGCCTATTGTCCTATTCACACTGACCTGGGAGTAAGTGTTACAGAACTGAGTAGGATTTATATCCAAGTAGGCATGCATAAGATGGCACTGTTAGACTTCTTCTGGCTCACAACACAGAGAAGGAGATTGTCTTTTCCATACATTTCACCCTTAATATAATTTTATTCCTTCAAAATGAAGATACTGTTTCTTTTTGTATATTCCTGCTTCGTGTAGCTAAGCACAGGAGTACAAAGATGCAAGATGGTACCCAGCAACTCACGAAACTGTTTAAAATCACAAAATTAAAAATACAATACAATAAAGTTTCGTGCAACTTTGTTTTTGCTGTTAGGAAGGGAAACATGTAACAGAAATATATCAACTGGAGCAAGACTTGTGAGTCAAAATACAATCAGTAGATATTTAGAATATTTTTCTCAGAAGAGTTAGCTTAACTCATTTAATGTAGCTTGAGCTTTCATGGGGAAGAGATTTTCAACACTGCAGTGAAACATTGACCCCAAAACAAAATCCTACAACAAACTCTGCTGCCAACTCTTTCCACACATATAGGACTGAATGATATAAATTACAGTATTGCATAGTTATACTATCCCTGCAGTGTTTTTAGTTGATTGGCAAAGCAA